ATGTCCCTCAACACTAGTTACATCATTATACAGGTCAGAAGAGGCTCAGGGGATCAGGACATTAGCATTTGAGGAGATATTTGCAATCTCTGCTGTGTTGCTTTACAAAGCAATTATTTTGTTCAGGAGGGTGGCTCAGAATCGTTTCAGATGAATACAACTGGGGCGTTTTGTTGGACACACCTGCAAATTGTGCGCATCAGGCTAGATTAGCACTCACTGAAATCACAAATAGAGAGAACAGCTATGAACACAATGAGGATACACAAAAGCATCTATTTAAGAGGACTGATATCACTTTGTTCCCACTAGTAGAAGTGGAAAAGCAATATGGCGGTCTTGAAAAAAGCTGTGACATCACAATGACCTCATTGTTCTTAATTAATAATTTAATTGAAAATCTCCACCCTGTGGTGGTTCCCTCATCTACAGCAACAGCAGGTTATTAGTTGTAAGATGGCAGCAAGTTAATTACATTTCATAATTTGTATGTTCATTAATGCTCTCTTATTAGTGAACAGTAAACATTAGTGCTGCGCTTGTTCACAGCAGGTCTTTGTTAATGAATTTTCATATAAACAACATAAAGCGCTCAATGGATATGATTCACGGGACCCAATTTAGAACTCAACAGTAGAATCAAAATGTAGCTAAATGTTACAGTTATAACATTTAACGTGTTAAAGTTTAAACATTTCTTGGTTAACATCAAAAGGCTGGTTAGTACGGCCCAGTTGGTCCCTGCTGGTAGATACCATAGCTACACAATAAATGTTCAAGAGAAAATTCTTATTATTGTGTAGATTGCGTCACAATCTACACAATAATAATAATAAATGTTTCTTGAACACCAAATCAGAATATTAGAATGATTTCTGAAGGATCTGACACTGAAGACTGGAGAAATGGTGACCAAAAAATACAGCCTTGGTGAACATTAGAAACTTTTATACATTAAAAATCATACCAATCCCAAACTTTTGAATGGTAGTGTATATAAAATACAGGGCAATGTTACTAAACCTATGCAAACATTTACTACAAAACCAGAGGCCACTGATGTTAAAAAGTTTACCAACTCTGAACTTTGTGTCAACTTGCAAATAGTAGGTTCGGTTGTCTAGAGAATTACACCAAAGAGTCAGGTAAGATAAGCCAGGCAAGTGAGAGAGTGACAGAAGTAAAACTAACATACCTAATAATATTTCAGAATGACTCTTATCATCTGAAATTATAAGATAGGTCCCGGGCTGATTTTTCAGTCCATCCCTGCACCATGGTGTGCTCTTGCATGCATTACACGCTTCTCCGGGTTGACAAGTTCCTCCTCCAAACTGACAGCACTTGAAGGTTATTGAGGGTTGTATCTCATCCAAAAGAGAACATAATGATCAGCAGACTGCCTAAACACCAAGTCCATGAACATCTTAAGTGCTCTACATGCCTTAAATGAGGTCACAATAAGAACTAGATTGAAAAGTTTGTAGACAAACTTTAAGTTGGCTTGAAAAAGCCTAGCTCGAAAGTTTGAAAAAGCTTTAAAAGCTTGCAGTCTGAAAGTTTTCAGTTTGGAGTGGTTTAAAAGTTAAAATAGTTTTAAAGATTAAAGTTTGAATGTTTTCAAGGCAATACAGTCTATCGGAAAAACAGATAGGTATAAAACATATTGCTAGGGTACCTGGTGTGGTTGCTAGGCTGTTTCTAGCATGACTAGCATGTTGCTAACATGTTTTTAGCATGATTAGCATGTTACTAGCATTTTGCTAGCATGATTATCATGTTTCTAGCATGATTAGCACGTTGCTAGCACAATTGTTTCTAGCATTACTAGCATGTTGATAGCATGTTTTTAGCATGTTACTAACATGTTGCTAGCATGACTAGCATGTTACTAGCATGGTCTTAACATTTTGTTAACATGATTAGCAAGTTACTAGCATTTTTTTCTAACATGATTAGCATGTTACTAGCCCGTTGTTAGCATGATTAGCATGTTACTAGCATGGTGTTAACATTTTGTTAACATGATTAGCATGTTACTAGCATGTTGTTAGCATAATTAGCAAGTTACTAACATGTTACTAGCATGGTGTTAGCATTTTGTTAACATGATTAGCAAGTTACTATAATTTTTTTCTAACATGATTAGCATGTTACTAGCACGTTGTTAGCATGATTAGCATGTTACTAGCATGGTGTTAGCATTTTGTTAACATGATTAGCAAGTTACTTGCATGTTGCTAGCATGATTCTACCATGATTAGCATGTTACTAGCATGATTCTAGTATGATTAGCATGTTACCAGCATGATGCTAGCATGTTTCTAGCATTTTTAGCAAAAGTTGCTAGCATGTTACATGATTAGCATGTTACTAGCACGTTGTTAGCATGATTAGCATGTTACTAGCATGGTGTTAGCATTTTGTTAACATGATTAGCAAGTTACTTGCATGTTGCTAGCATGATTCTACCATGATTAGCATGTTACTAGCATGATTCTAGCATGATTAGCATGTTACCAGCATGATGCTAGCATGTTTCTAGCATTTTAGCAAAAGTTGCTAGCATGTTTCTAGCATGATTAGCAAGTTACTAGCATGTTGTTAGCATGATTAGCAAGTTACTAGCATTTTGCTAACATGATTCTAGCATGATTAGCATGTTGCTAGCATGATTCTTGCATGATTTTTGTATGATTAACATGTTTCTAGCATGTTTAGCAAATTGCTAGCATGTTTCTAGCATGATTAGCATGTTACTAGCATGTTGTTAGCATGATTAGCAAGTTACTAGCATTTTGTTAGCATCTTTCTAACATGATTAGCAAGTTACTAGCATGTTGTTAACATGTTTCTATGCTAATCCAGCTAAAACCAGCTAAGACCAGCCTAGCCTGCTAAAAAAAGTGGCCAAAACCACTTTAAAACCAGCTTGGGAGACCAGCCAAAGCAGTCAATCAGCTTAGGCTGGTTTTAGCAGTTTTTTTCAGTAGGGAGTTGTTAAGCTTTGCTATAGCAACAGACAGCTTAACTACACCATACGTCTTATTGTATAAACGTTTTCACCCCCTCAATGAAAGTCTATGGGATTTTAGGTGGTTTTGATAGTCTGGTTTACGAAAACCGTAAGCCGGATCAGTTAGAAAAGATATAGCAACCCGAGTCACACCAGTCTGAAGGTCTGACCCGACTTTGGTGGTTGTAGCTTTAAAAGTCTAGGAGGAGATACATTGTCAAATGTGTCAAATGTAATAATGGCAAAACATTCTACACTCTTAAACCATTCTGGGTCTCCAAAGGACCTTTCAGTGCCCCCTTTTTTCTTAGTGTGAAGAACATTTTAAAAATCTAAAAAAACTTTTTCCACTTTAAAAACCTTTTGTGGGATGGAAAGGTTCCATGGGTGTCAAAGGCTCTTCATGGAACTATAGATGCCAATGAAGAGCCTTTACTTTTATGACTGTAGGATTGTTATTTGGGTCCCAGCTAACCATGCTCAAAGCACAAATATCTGCACTGTTGATATCAGACGTATTAAAGGAGTTCTTTAAAAGCCGCATGTAACTGGCAAAGTTTAAAACCCTTGTTTTAGTACAGTGATTGACTGACAGATGAGGACCCATCAGGTCAGATTAGTGTTTACAAATGCAATGTGGTCACATTCATTTTAGACTACCTCTAAAAATATGTTGAATCATCTGAAAGGATCTTTATACCAGTGTCAAGATAGCAAAGACCTCAGTCTGAACCACAGTGTGCATATATTGAATCTAGTGGGAATCTATTATGAGTATATAAATGGATAAGCACTTCAGAATTTATATATCCACACTGGAGAGACAGATCACTGCATTTCCCTGTCAGTGATGGAGGAGAGAAAGAACTAAATTGCCTAAATGGCCATCTCCATTGTATGTTGCCTCTCTTGGCACCTGCGTATATTAAATGACAATCATGTGTCTTAAATCAATTGCTTTAGGCTGAAGATGTATGGGAAAGCAGTCTAAAAACATCAATAAGACAGTCAGTTGATCTTTGGCCATAACTAGCCGAGAGCGTGCCTGCGCATTGGCCGCATTCAGTGGGAGGCAGCACTTTAGATATAAAACAAAAGATCCCCTGACACATGCCAATGATCCCTGTGTTTATTGGGCTCAAATCCTGCTGCATGGGCACTAAATGAAGTAAGACCTGCCCAGAGGCCCAACGTTAATTACCACATGTATGCTTTCTTGTCTCCTGAAGAATGAAAAAGCCATGAGCTGCCATTAATTTCGCCTTGTCTCTTCTAACCAATAAAGGCAAGAATCAAATCACATGACATGACATTGCAACATTTGGGCCATTTAAAATGCACACAAAATTATAAATAAGGCATATTTGAAGAGCTGTAGCATATAGGGATTTCATAATGCTACCATGACGTAGATGTATGTAAACCATGCAAAGTTCACACCAACATGTCACTGGTAGTATATACTCTCATCCTAGCAATATATAGTTTAAAATGTATGCACGTGATGTATTATTCAACAAAAGAAGATGCAAAGGTCCCTGTGAGTAAAAACACAGGATCAACACAGAGTGCTTTAGAATGACTTAATGTACCGCTGAAGAAAATATTCCATCCTTTTTTCTGTTCAAATGAAGTGTTGCATATTGACAGATGTGATTGAAATTATGATGATTCAATATAAAGAGATATTTGTTCAGTAAAGTGATTACTCCAGCTTTTTTGATGAAGCATATGTCGTGAAATAACTCCATATGGTAATTTATTACGGGAACAGTTAAGGCACGATTGCATGTTGCACTAATGACATTATTTTACATCACTGTCATTACCAAACCACATTAAGGTGCACATTTTTACCCACTGAACACATTTTGTGATCTCAATAATATTTCGATCTCATTTTCTGCTCCAGATCTGGAGTAAACAAATTTGTAAAGCACTATAGTATTCAATGTACCCGGCTCCAGGTGAGCTGATGACTGACCTTATCTGCCATGATCATGGATGAGCCGCCATGGATCCCCAGAATGGGTATCAAAGTCTGAGAGGAAATAAAATCCAAAATCTGGGCGATGGCTTCCTGGTCCGTGCCGTCCCCAAACACCACCCCATGGATTTTAGTCCCAGACATGAGATCGCACACATGGGTAATGATACTTTTGGGGTCCGTTTCATTCACCAGCAGGGTCACCACGTTGACGTCAATGGGATCATCTTTGCTCCACAGAGCCCGTATATCTCTATCGGAGATGTAGCGTGTTTGACCCAGGATCACGGCAATGTTTAGTATGGGCACTTTCTCTGCCGCATGCGAGACGTTGATGAGGGTAAGGAGAGCTGGAAGAGTCAGAAGAACCAACCTGGAAAACCCCATAGTGCTCGACTTCATTCCCTGCAGAGCAAAAACACAAAGATAATAGAGGCTGTTTGTGATATAATGCATTTAGAGGTTTACAAAATATACCATGTAATATACTTCAAGGAGTTTCTTCTTAAAGAGGAAACACATAATGACTCCAGACAGGCAAATCTTATGCAACATTGCTTAATAATTCTTTTAGTTCAGAATTACATTACCTGAAATAGCTATTCAGTAACATATACATTTTACATCCAATCCAGTGGAGTTACACAACAACTGCGAGAAGCGCAGGATTTAATAATCTCATTTTGGAATTTAGGCAATGAATAGCTAGCAATGAGCAAATGATGAATATTACATGTGACACTAGATCTGAGCAGCGAGCAGGGCAGAAGAGAGTGGAGCTGACATCGTCACATGAAGAGTCTTGGAATGACTGAGCGGAGGAAGCTCACAGGCCCTTCGCTACTGTGGCCAGCATGTATACGCAAACAGATGCATTGTAAAGCAAGGGATAAAACTGCAGAGAAACAACATATGGTGCAGGGGCTGTTGGAGCTTGCGATTCTCATGAAGAACAATACATCATATCACCATTATTAAAGACAACTGAATGAGTAAGCTAGATTTAACACAGTTTCGGCTGATAAGAATTCAGTAGAGCAAGCGAACTTGAATGGTTCATTTGTTTCAATGCAGTTGAGCAGAGATTGGTGAAAATATCACACTTTGTGTGATTGGATCGAGGCTTGTCTCTAGAGAGTAAGACTCGAAGTTTGATGCATTTTTGAAGATATGCATTTAGATTAGATACTTATCTTTACAGTGATTTAATAAATGTTACATATAGCCTATACAGATGTTTAAATATAGCAGAGCATGCTGGGTTTTTTGTCTTTAAATCAATGTTTTAAGACACTACATGACATTTTGTCCAACACAAACACTGTGTCATCATGTTTTTGAGTGGATGCAAAAATATGCAATGTTCACGCTCTGAAAGTACTGATAAATGAGTAAATAAATTATGAACCATGTGACAAACATTAATGAATGTGGAGCTGAGATTGTACGGACTTTGGCTGGAGGCCATCTTCTGACAAGTACATTTTACATTTATATTATATTTTATTTTAATGTAATTAATTAGAGATTGAGGGGGGGAGTATATTTTATGAAGATTTTGCTGTTTGCATGAATAAAACTGGCCTCATTTGTTATTTTAGGCAAATGCGATATCAGTGTTCTTACAACGTGACAGAGATCTTAACATGGGAAATATATCTAGATGAATATTGCTTCTGATACCTCATTAATTTCCTCAAAACGACCATTATGCAAGTGCGCCCCCTATTGACGCGTCTGGTTTTGCGTTCTCAGCTGGAATCTCAGTACGCTGTACGACACTATAATATTCAAAGAAAAAATATACGCGTCAGAACTTTACAACCGAAGCAACTAGGGAGGTCAATCATATCCATTTTCACAGAAAAGAAGCAACATTTAGGCCTACAATCCCGCTGTTTAATGAAAAATAAAACCAGCGTTATGTTTTAACAAGTAGGCTAGCCTGCTATTTGAAGTTGGCTCAACAACTCGACCAAAATCCGCATTCATCTGTTACATATCATAGCAAGCACAGACAAGTCCTCTATCATGTAAAACCTTTTCAAATGACACGTTTATCTTCCTTCTGCTCTTTTTGTCTCGTTCATTAGTACATTTCCTCGTTTTATCCAGCAAAAGCAAACCGCAATCCTGAGGGAAAATCTTCAGATTTGATGCTCACATGATCACGACACGAGTTTTCTTACAGGTAAAACAAGAGCGTGTTTTTGAACATAACTCTATAAAACACAACTTACTGTTTAAAACCCCTATATCCTACCATTATAAAGTATCAAATCCCGTTTTCTTCCTTTAATGCCTCTGTTTTAAAACCGCTCATCCCTAATGATGCAAGAAAAGCCGCGTTTTCCTGCATCAAATTAATTTAATTGAAAACGTTTATGTTCATTCTACAATGTCCTTTAAGAGACCAAATCGTAATGGACAAAGCGAATTTTAACAGAGCGACAGAATAAATAAATACTATTTAAAAAATACTCACAGCATCCCTCTTCCACAAAGCTCCAACGATGTTGAATGGGATGACATTGCAACAGTCCTCCTCTCACCAGCCAGGCTGGAAATATGGATAATTATTCCCACCGACGAATCCTTTAAGTTCAACCACAGAACCATATGAATCAAATTAATCCAGTGGTTTGCATGTTTATTAATTATCCATGACTCTTCCTCGATAAACAGAAGCGCGAGACTCGCACGCTGGGAACTGAATCCGCAAGAAATTAGGACTGAATCTGCGAGCAGGACCACAGGACAGTCTCACAGTCCTCTTTCCCCACAGCCTCTCTGGATGCCGTCAGTTACACATCCTTAAGGTGAAAATGAGAATTACACCGTTTCTAAGAAGAAACCCGTTTTCAGTGCAACTGTCTTCAAATCTTGTGAGTCCGAGTCTTTAAATGTCATGCCAACCCTCACTTGACGTAACTTAACCTACACATAATCCTAAAAGTTATACTAGACAACACATTCATAAACTCGCTGGATGTGGATTATTAATGTATTACCATCGGTTCGGCTTTGTGGAGCTTTTACCTGTCGGCGGCCAGGTTGGAAATATGGATAATTATTCCCACCGACGAATCCTTTAAGTTCAACCACAGAACCATATGAATCAAATTAATCCAGTGGTTTGCATGTTTATTAATTATCCATGACTCTTCCTCGATAAACAGAAGCGCGAGACTCGCACGCTGGGAACTGAATCCGCAAGAAATTAGGACTGAATCTGCGAGCAGGACCACAGGACAGTCTCACAGTCCTCTTTCCCCACAGCCTCTCTGGATGCCGTCAGTTACACATCCTTAAGGTGAAAATGAGAATTACACCGTTTCTAAGAAGAAACCCGTTTTCAGTGCAACTGTCTTCAAATCTTGTGAGTCCGAGTCTTTAAATGTCATGCCAACCCTCACTTGACGTAACTTAACCTACACATAATCCTAAAAGTTATACTAGACAACACATTCATAAACTCGCTGGATGTGGATTATTAATGTATTACCATCGGTTCGGCTTTGTGGAGCTTTTACCTGTCGCGGCATGGTTCTTCAGCTTTTTCAGTGATCTGAATCATTTCGGTGAGGAATTGCCTCTCTGTGACGTATGACAATTCCAGAGCCGAACTTCACTGCGGAAACCACTGAGCTCATCATTCCCATGTACAGTGAGCGCTGCTCGGACATCAGGGGCTCATCCGCGCAGATGCTGCTCTCACACACCTTATTCTCGTCTGACCGCTCATTACGTGCTCGATTCGACGCGTTTCTACTGCATTCGTTCACCACTTTCTTAGATGAGATGAGGAAACCTCGAACGTTTCATCTCAGCTCGTTCATACTGTAAATAAGAGTTCAGAGTGACTCAATACGCACTTACGCGTTTATCCTCACGTGTTTGCGCGTCTAGTTGCATAAATCAAACAAATCATGTTCAATGTAAGGTAGAAAGAAAGAAAGAAAGAAAGAAAGAAAGAAAGAAAGAAAGAAAGAAAGAACGAAAAATCACCTAAAAAATGAAGTGACAATTCATCAGTGGTGGCATTTTGGTCATAACCTTGACAGACAGACAGACAGACAGACAGACAGATAGATCGATAGATGTGCGTTAGAGCGATAGATGGATAGATAGATAGATAGATAGATAGATAGATAGATAGATAGATAGATAGATAGATAGATAGATAGATAGATAGATAGATAGATAGATAGATAGATAGATAGATAGATAGATAGATAGATAGATAGATAGATAGATAGACTACTGTAGCCTACTACTGTAGCAACATTACATTAATTTTCCATAAAATTACGACATACAAATTTTTTACAGTGAAGGCAAGCAAAACCCAAAAGTCTGTAGATGTGGCAAAACTTCTAAATAAGATTATGAGGATGGAAGAAAGAAATGATTCTTGACTATATTTCTTGATTGCTTTTTCCTAACGGCAGATGCTCCCTTCAAGAAATGCACTCAAGCAGCACCATATGAGGATATGCTACCTCTCTATTTTAGCATCATAATCCCTTCTGAATAATTTCAGTAAATGTGACTTGCACTATGGTATATTTGATTCAAACCACACATTCAAAACACAGGCATGAGTCATAGGAAAGCTCTTTGTGTGATTTCACCAGGTTCTGTGGGAAGGACTCAAGTTTATGGAAGATTCTCATAGTCAGAGTACTTGCTACACCTCCAGCCCCCAGCTCCCATTATTCTATCAGACAGAAGGAAATGGTCATTTTCTCATTTTCTGCAGTTGCAGTGAACATGATTTACTCATTAGCAGACTGCTCCAGCAGGTGCAGAACGAGGCTGATGCTTTACTTACCTTTACCTTTATTTATATAGCGCTTTTAACAATACAGATTGTGTCAAAGCAACTGAACAGCATTAATTAGGAAAATAGTGTGTCAATAATGCAAAATGACAATAGTAAACACAAATTTTTCAGTTAAAGACAGTTCATCATTGAATTCAGTGATGTCAACATCCAGCTCAGTTTAAATAGTATCTTTGCAATCAAGTCAACGGTATCGCTGGAAATGAAGTGTCCCCAACTAAGCAAGCCAGAGGCGACAGCGGCAACAGCGACAGCGGTCTTTTCCTTCTCGAAGGAAAAGACTCTTCTCCTGCCTGTGAAGTTCTTGGCTGACGTTGTTTTTTGACACATCTGCAAATGTTTCTATTTTAGCTCTGCATGTCACACTGAAAAAAAAAGAAAGAAAAAAAACCCATCCCAAAATGTGAGCAAGCGCTGCTCCTTCTATTTTGGTCTATCCATTCAACCATCATACAGGCCCTTATTTTCTGGACACTGTCTCCACCCTAACTCATGTTCAGTCAAAAAAAAAAAAAGTAATTGTTCACGCTCAAACTGCAGCTCTCTGTTTTCCCTGAGGGGTTTGTATTTCAGCTTAATACTATCTACTGTGGTGCTGGGTATAGAGTCATGCATGAATGCAGGGAAGCGGTACCATGTCTGTTTGAGAAGTAATACAAAGTGAATGCCTGCAAAACAAAGAAAATGTGGGCAGTTACATCAAGACCGTGCAATCAAATATTAGGTAACAAAACTCAAACCAAGCCTGCTTGGAGAGATGCACAGGACTCTTCCTAACGTAACCCTCAAAACTCAAAAGGCTTCAATACTGAGAGGGACCACAATATTAAAAGGATAGTTCACCCAAAAATGAAAATTCTGTCATGATTTAAGCACCCTCCACTTGTTCCAAACCTGAATGAGTTTCTTACTTCTGTTGAAAACAAACAAAGATAATTTGAAGAATGTTGGTAACCAAAAAGTTGACGGTAGCCATTGACTTCCATAGTATGGGAAAAAATATCTCAATGGCTACTGTCAACTGTTTAGTTACCAACATTCTTCAAATTATCTTTTTTTTTTTTTTTTTTGTCAGTCCAACTCATTCAGAAGCTTCTTTTGGTGAGATTCCAATGACTAGTTTCTTCAGTCAAAAAGGTCTCTCTATGGTTTACAAGTCAGTATATCTCTGTGATTTTCTACTACTCCAAATCTGGGAAAAATCTGGACTGCTATAAAATCTCTGAGTCTTCCAAAATGTATGTATGTATGTATGTAAAGAAAGCCGACATGCAGAGGCCAATGGTGTATTCCCTCACAGTTGTTCAAATATGACATGGGATCAGGGCCATCCGTAGCTAACGCAGGGTGCTGAGGTAGGGGTCCCCCGCGGTCCGTTCCCCCCCTAAGGACGGCCCTGCATGGGATGTTTGTCATCTATTAGTCCAGGGGTATTGGCATTTTTTTTTTTTTTTTTTTTTTTTTCAACAGAAGTAAGAAACTCATACAGGTTTGGACATGACATGACATGAGGGTAAGTAAATGATGACAGAATTTTCATTTTTGGGTGAACTATCCCTTTAACATCAGGCCTATAACAGCACTGTAGTGTATATGCAACTATACAAAGTGTAGTTTTAGAATCATTAAATAGAAATATTATACTTTCCGCACAGTGGCATAGCTGCATATTCATTTGCTGCACCCCGCTATAAGGGGGAGGTTTTGTGTGAAACACTAATGCCAGTACTAGGGCTCTTGGGTGCACCTGGGCCATAATATTTTATGTCTCACTCAAAGACGTGGTAAATTGGGTATTTTAAGATGGGGAAACATTTCATCATGTTTCCGAGCAACCCTCTGACTGTAAAATGTGTGCGTGGTACTGTGCTATCAGAATCCCTATGTAACAGAGTCCTCAAGAGCCTGCAAAAACATCTCCAACCGCAGGGTGGTGTTTTATCTTTAAAGGGGTGGTTCATTGCGATTTCACTTTTTTAATGTTAGTGTGTAATGTTGCTGTTTGAGCATAAACAATATCTGCAAAGTTATGAAGCTGAAAGTTCAATGCAAATGGAGATATCGTCTTTTAAAATTCTGGCAGTTTAATGCCTACAAAAACGGCTGGTAGGGACTACAACAAGTTACTTCCCGGGTTTGTGACATCACAAACCCAGATAAACCCCGCCCTCGGGAAAAGGCAGCAAAGGGGGCGAGGCCATGCTGCGCTGCTTTAGAGAAGAGGAAGAGAAAACTAGAGGTGCACCTAAAAATCTATTCATATATGAATCGCGATTCTGTCTTCTAACGATTCTAATGGATTCACAGGTTTCAAAATCAATGTTCAAAAGCAGCGGGTCTTAATACTGTTCCTCGCGTCCCCCTGCTCTGCATATCTCTCTCTCTCTCTCTCTCTCTCATTCAGCTCCACAATGAACTGTTCCAATTATACACTTATTTTCACATAGCTATGAGAAGCATTAAACATGGACGCGCATGCGGTTGCTGTACTGTATTAAAGCTTTAATCAGGATAAAACCGTATATTAAAAGCTAACATAAGCAGTAGCATTTACAAATAACAGCGTATCTAATATGAGACAAACAAAAAACATAGGCCTACCATTAAAAGCCGTGCTTGCACAGGTTCTGCATGATCCTCTTCAATAATATCCTCTGCTTCTCAATCGGGCTCAAACTGATAAGCGATATTAACCATGCCATTGTTTACAATACAACCGGAGCACATGCCACTGAGGTGAGGGGCGGGACACTTAGACACGCACTAGGCGGTTTAGCCAATCACAACACACTGGGCTAGCTAACCAATCAGAGCCCATCGCCTATTTCTGAGGGCAGGGATTCATAAAAACAGGAAAAGATCAGCCTGTTTCTCAGAGAAGGGACAGAGCTGTGTGGAATAAAGGTAAATTATGTGAAAAATAATGCTTATAATAATTATAAAAAACTATATATTTTTTTAAACGAAGCATTAACACATGTTAGACTGCACCCCATAAACACAATCAAGCCTAGAAAAAAACCAGTGAACCACCCCTTTAAGGGGGCCAATATGAATGGGCTCTA